ACAGCTTTTGATTGCGTCTTTCAGATCAAGTCACCTGTAGTAATAGTAAAAAATTGTTTAAAAAGATTATTCAACTTGTATATTTATTCAGGCATATACACAGCTTTTGATTGCGTCTTTCAGATCAAGTCACCAGTAATAGTACAGGAAAACATGCAGTGTTTGTACAAATAAACTTGCTGCATTGTTTCATTTATTCTTAAATCTTTTAAATAATGTTAAACCTGAAACACAACTGTATTTAGATTTGCCCCCCCCCCCCCTTTTCCGTCTACATGTACTAGTATATATTTATTATCTTTAAAGTCTTTTGAACAGAGGAAAATACTGTGTAAATTCAGAATAAGTGCACATGAATTAAGAATTGAAAGTGGTAGATATGAATATACAAAAGGTATTAATGGAAAAAAGATCCCTCTAGAAAGAAGTCAACGGACATGTACTCTTTGTAATTCAAATTGTATTGAAGATGAAATCCATTTCCTTACAAATTGTTCTTTATATAATGAAGAAAGGAAAGTTTTGTTTAACTTTTTAAGTGACAATTATAAATATTTCAACACTCTGTCTAACAATCAAAAATTTTTATGGATTATGGCAAATGAAGATCACAATGTATTATTTAAACTATGTGACTTTTTATCGAAATTTTTTATTAAGAGAAAAAATCTCATTAAAAAATGATAAAAGTAAAAATGTTAGGAAATACATAATTATTCAATTCATGTGTACTTCAGTCTCTACTACTAATGTACTTTGCATTTTTTTTTCTCTCTATCTGTCTTATAAACATTAAGTTCAAAAATGCATGTACATTAATTAAATGCCATTAGGCCTAAATACTGATGCCCCATACCACAATATGATACATATATATATATATATGTGACGCGCCAAGCAAAAACCTCCCTTATATCTATTATGACGTAACGTCAGAAAACGCGTCTAAATATCATAAGGACGTAAACGCTGTATTCTCGTCTGCCATGTGTTTAACTTCCTTGTTCAAGCTATAATAACAACGTTATGGAGGAATTTCAGGTGAGTTTTTTTTTTTTTACTGAGCCTTACATCAGCATAATATATTTGCAAAAACTTATTTAAGTTGATTATTTTTTTTAATTAGAGATAGAATATATTCTGAATGAGAAAAAAAATATTCGAGAAACTTGTTGGACCAATATACTGTCATGTTGATTGTATATCGGTAGATCTACATGCAAATGCGACTTTTTCGATCGCATGCATGCGAGCAGGTGTGGATTTATTAATTTTTTTAAAACTTCAAATGAGAAATTTAGTATTCATATTTCAAAAGTTTCTAGAAATATAATATAAACTTTGAATTGTCATTACATTATACCGCACTGGTGCACAGGATTAATTACCTTCATGCACAAACTCCGCGTAAGCATAATTTACGCAGAGCTCATGGCTTGGTCAATCGAGTGATTTCTATTGACTTTATTGATAAAATTGCGAACTCCTGTGGCTATGCTTATTGAATAATGTGGAATATAAAGGGATGTTTGAAATTCAGATTATTTGATTACGACAGTATGAAAACGATCAGTATAAATTTGTTGCCAAGTTGTTGCTAATGTAAACAAAGGGGCACCACTCTAAATTTTTTTCAGAAATGAAATTCTTTCGAGAATATTCGAGAATTTATTTAATGCAGTTACAATATGCTAACAAAATGCTTATCAATTGTGTGTGTGAATAGAGATAAATTTACAACCATTAATAGGCAAAACTGTACTATTATCAGAAACCCTTGGTTAGCGAAGATGCCTTCATGACTTGGCCGAGTAAATTTAAAACTCAAGAATGAATGGCCGTTCCATTGCAAGAAAATCATTCATCATTTTGTTTTAAAAATATGATACAGTAATCAATTTACTACAAACACAAAGGAAGACCCAATGTCATTCTTTAAAAAAAATCACATGCATTTGTTTCAGGCCTCCTAAGATTTAAATAAATAAAGGGTTAGAGGACCTGGTACAAACCAGGGATGGGGTAATTGAAAAAAGTAATTGTAATTGACTGTAATTAATTACATTTTTTGAAGTAATTGGATGTAATTTGTAATTGAACATTTTTTCAATTACTTGTAATCGTAATTTAATTAATTACACTGGAAAAATACCATGTAATTTCAATTACTTTTTCAATTACATTCAATTACTTTATATAATACACATTCATGATACATTGTCACCACGACCTCCCCGTTATACTGTCTTTTATTTTATTGCAAAACAAATCCTCAGTCCTTCAATTATACAGAAGACAGATTATTTTATAATTATAATGTAGTTTCTTTCTAATCATTATATGAAATTTGAACTTTTTTGTTTTATGTTTATCTAAATTTGCACCACAATTCTAAGGTCTATTCAGCTATGAAACACACATAATTTATTATATTTCAATCTCTGTTGTTTGATCAACCTAGAATAAGAATGTCTGTGTCAAGAAAAAAAAGAAGAAAAGGAATGTGTGTGTCATTAATGAAGTTCTCTCTTATTGGTATTGAGAGATAATTGCCCTACAGAGCACAGCTGTAAATTGCAATCAAAACATTTAAATCAATCCCTCTTTAGACATATTCATTACATGATTATGATGACAAAGCCAATGCATGGGGATAATTATCTCAATTAAAAATGCTCCGCTGGTTTGAGAACAAGAAAAACTTTCAATTTGATAATTATTTTAACATCAAAACAGAATTTTATGAATAAATTTTGTATCTGAAAAAGATATGTTCTGTACAAGTATTATATGAATATGAAGTAAAATATTTTATACAAGTATTAAATAAATATGAAGTAAAAATGTTCAACATAAGAAGCAATTTAGGATGTTAAGGTTACCTTTAAAAGAAATATTTAATGTGAGGGGGTTATATATAATAGTTGCGACTTAATTTACTCTATTAAAGAAAACCCTGTTAATCAAATATCATAACCCAAGCAATTTATGTACATGTAGGTTTTGTGTGGAGGCAATTGCATCAAACTGATCTTGAATATTTCTTTACTGTCATATAAATAAAAGTCATGATTTAAACCACAAAGATACACTATGCCTACTAGCATATTATTTGTATTGTTTGTGCAGAGGCAGCGCTTATAGACAAGTGAATGATCCTGTCTATTCATATGATTATAAAAAAAATTCAAAAATTGAAAATGTAATTTGTAATTTAATTAATTACTTTTGTAAAGTAATTGTAATTTAATTAATTACATGTCTTAGGAAGCCTGTAATTTAATTGTAATTTAATTGAAGAAAAAGCCAAAGTAATTGTAATTTAATTAATTACTTTTTAAAGTAATTGACCCCATCCCTGGTACAAACATGGTTTATATACCAAGTTAAAGTATTAGATCTCATGAATAATCAATTAAAACAAGGCATAAAATTCTTCACAAAATTGTTAAGATTTACCGTAAGTTCTTTAATCTTTTAATATCTAAAAAATTTGAACATCAACTAGAGTTTAACCTGTGCTATTACCCCCCCCCCCCCAAAAAAAAAAAAAAAAAATTAATAAATAAATAAAAATAATAATAAGTTCTAAACAAGAGAAGTTCTCGACTGATTTACCGGTTCAAACCACAAAAAAAATTCGTCTATAATTTTTATGTAGTAGTAAAGATAAAGGGGAAAGCAGACACATTTTAAATCGAGGGTGGATCGGGCAAAGGAAAACAAAAACATATATTTCATTTTGACTTCAGTAACCATTTTCATCTATACCCCCCCCCCCCCAATATCAAACATGCAAGGATTGTACTTTGAACAAATATTTTTATCATAATAAATAAATGATTAATGTAATATATGGATTTTTTATTAAACACATTTTGGAATGCACGAAACCTTGTTATAGAGTCACTTATATTTTATATGTGCTTGATTTTTATTAATTTTTTTTTTGGTAGGAGCTAGATTAAACGAACATTTTGGAGTAAGTGGCAGAAAGCGTAAATCAAATTTTGTAGAAGATACTTCCTTTGATGATGATTCCGAAGTTGATGAACCTTTATCAATAAAGAATCGAGCAGAACATTTTTTCAATTCGGATGAAAATGACGAACGATTAAGTGATACTGAGGAAGATGTCATTTTTGATGTGATCCAAAGAGGATGCAAATGTGTGAAGATGTGTCTCAACAATTTCTCAACACAGGAAATTGTTGATCACATATACTCAATACGAGAACTAGAAAAAACTGAAAAAGAAGTCATGATAATGACAACATTAAATGATTTCGTATTTCGTCCAAAACCTAAAAGTACTCGAAAAAGAGTGAGATATATGTACACTTATCGTAGTCAACAAATCTGTAGAGCTGCTTTTGAGATTGTATACGATGTGAAAGAACATACTTTAGATAGTCTTCAAAAGCATGTTCAAACACACGGAGTAACCCCACGAGTTCATGGAAACAAGGGTAGAAAAGCCCCAAACGCATTCAAGTTCGATGAGGTTTTTAATGTTGTTCAATACTTGCAAAACTACGCCACTCAAAATGGTATTCCACAACCGGCTGGGCACGGGGGCGGTGGTCCAGAACCTCAAGTTTACTTACCATGTTCCAACACTAAAGATGAAATTTACAGGCAATATACAGAGGATTGTGGAATGACCGGGATACGTCCTTTAGGTTTATCCTCTTTTAAGGACGTGTGGTTGAAATGCACACCTCACATCAAAATAAGTAATCCACGGACCGATGTGTGTCATTTGTGTGAAAAGCATAGAAATGCTATTAGAGAAGCTGTTGGTGATGCGGAGAAACTAGAGGCTACGATTAATTTCCAAAATCACCTTCAAATGGCAACAAGAGAAAAACAAGCCTACCAACAAGCCGTGACAGATTCTGTAACAGAGCTTCAAGGCATCACAAGAGGATATGGACCTGTAGATCCATGCTCTAAGCCTTATACTAAAGTTCACTTTACTTTTGATTTTTCTCAGCAAATGTTTTTGCCTCATCACTCCAGACAAATGGGCCCACTTTACTTCCTGGTTCCTCGCAAAGTTCAACTTTTTGGAGTGAGAGTAGATGGAATTCCAAGGCAGTATAACTACCTGGTCGATGAAAACGAAACTATAGGTATGCAACTATATTACATGGACGTTACCTCACAATAAAAAATTAGACTATTTCTAATTAAACTACTTTTTTATGTAAATTAATGAAATTGAATAACACTTTCAGGGGAAAATGGATCGAAGACACATGGACCAAATGCTGTAATATCAATGCTACATCACTGCTTACACAACTTTGGTTTAGGTGAAAACGAGTGCATTGTTCATGCAGACAATTGTGCAGGTAATTCTGTTGTTAAGCTTTCAGTTTACCGGTATCCGATCCTATTTTTTTTCCTAAATAATAAAATTGATTTTAATTGTACCATTAGGTCAAAATAAGAATCGATATTTGTTGGCATACTTCTGCTGGAGAATTCTGCTTGGTCTACATAGACAAATAACATACATGATGCAGATTCCAGGACATGCAAGGTATTTACATTTTTGCAAATTACTTTCTTAAAAGCGAAAAAGACACCTTTTCATGTGAACTAAATTCAGAATTATTTTAATGATTTTATAAGATAACTCAAAAAATCTTTTTAGATGCTTAGTGGATTCGAATTTTGCACATATCAAACGCCTCTACAAGAGAAGTGATTGCAACTCCCTCGAACAACTGAGATCTATTGTTGACAAGTCCAGCTACTCCAACAATGCGGTTTTATATGCTGAGGAGGAATCTTGGATGTGGTCGGATTGGGTGCAGTTCTTCTCCGAGCACTTTGATCCACTCAAGGGTTTGCGCAGATTCCAAATCTTTCGATTTTGCCATGACAGTCCAGGGTATGTACTTTGCAAAAAGTCTAGTGATGGTGAGGAGATTCCTGTGAGACTTTTGAAATCTGATGTAAGGCATTTTGCTCATGATGCGCGACCTCCAGAGATTTCACCAGGAGGTCTGACACGAGAAAGGCAGGCATACCTTTATAGCCGGATCCGACCTTTCGTAACCAATCCTTGGAAAGATGTGACCTGTCCCCCGGTTCAGAACGAAGAATGACAGCTCAAAATTACTTCTTTGGATTAAAACCTGTGTGACACAATCTTAACTTTTAAAAGTATCTTCTGTTATGAAATGTTGAGTTACATGTGATATTAAATATCGTGATTTGTAAATGTATATGATTACGTATAAACTGTAAAAAGGAAATGTATATTTTAAAAATTATTTTTTTTTTTGCACCATTTCATATCTTAATTATTATTATTTATTGTTGAAAATCCACTGAATCAAAATAAGGAAGTGAACATGTATTGTTAGTGAAATATGTCTCCCATTAATACTAGTATACACGTAGGAACAATTCTGTAGCCTTTATTTGCGCAGTTGACGTCAAAGCATATATTTCTTTTATTTTGATGCGTTATTTCAACACGTAATTATGAGAAATATATGTTATGCTGTATATCATTAGAATCAGAAGGAAAAGTTCTATAAGAATCAATAAAAAACTGAAATTGTCAAAATTTTCACTTAAGGGAGGTTTTTGCTTGGCGCGTCACAACATTGAAGAGTCATATGTCTATTTCATGTACATGTTTGTATAGGTTCATGTATGTCTAAATGTTTTGTTTTGTTTTTCCTTTTTCTGTCATCTATATATTAGGCCTTTCTCTTGTAAGTTTGTACTCTTTATGCTCATTTGGGCACTGAATTAGTAATAAAACATATCTTATATTATCTTATCTATATACCTTTGATTAGATACAGGTTAAAGATAATATTATATATTGTCAGTGATAATATAAGAAGTTTTAGACAGTTTTAATCGGCATATACTCTGATCCTTGCGATTTTCAGAACTGTCAATTAATTTTCTGTCCGTCCGTTTTGGGTTTCGGATGTTGGAATTCTGGTGACTTCCGTGATTAGAGGATAAATCGATGGAAATTTTTGAGAAATAATTGATTAAAAATATAAGATGGATGAAAATTTAATACCTGAGGATTTTTATCATTACATAAGAATTTTCTGGAGAGATGGGGGTTCGTAATTCAGCTGGTAAGCGGCGCATATAACTTTTAAAAGGAAAAAATCGAGTCTGGGGCACGGAAAGGGGCAAATGAAGTTGCAAGCGTTGTTTCTCTTTAGTATACAGTGGGATATGCCATTTTTAAAGCGTGCATAAAATAGAATTTCCGCGACATTCTAGTGTATATGAAGCAGAAAGGTTTACAAAAAACTGAAAATTAACACTGCACACTGAAAAAAAATGTTACGAGTATAGTTCGAATTTCCTCGACAATACATTATGTAGAAAAAATACAGTGTCCTTGACCCAAGCGCCTATGATTAATATTCATACAATTTAATTGCAGCCCGGTCCTCCGGGCTGCTCTATACATATAAGTTTCATTGTTGGTGTATGGGGATTTGGGTGGGAGTAGTTATTCAGAATTACTGGTTTTATATACCGGAATAAAAATTGAATCGTTTGTTAATCAGATTGTTCTTTACCTTTATAAACGAGATACATAATATATTTACTTCCGTAAGGTGAATCTGTAAAAATATATATGTTTTTCATATATAATATGTAAAGTTGCTTATCATTTACTATCGAAAAAACGGCTAGTCCCTTTTTTTAGAATATCGAATTTTTATTATCGCATAAAAACGTACCATGCAAGGTTCGTGTTTTATATTCTTTATATTCTAAAATTGTAAATTATATTCATTTTTGAATATACTAGGTGATGCATGTGTCTAACTTGAATTTATATTTTATGTAACCAACATTTACTTGAGGAATTGATCAAGTTTAAGATGGTATCATTTTGTTTGTTTTTATCCGACTATAAGTTTTCAAAATATTCGCGACTATCGTCTCCATCAATTAGACGCATGCCTTTTCACATATACCAAAGCTATTTGATGATCAAGACTCATTTCCATTGATTTCCCGCGTGAAAATTGATCGCTACATCAATGTTTTATTGTTTCTCTATGTGATCAAAAAATTCAAACATTACAAGAGATAGGACCAGATTTTCTTGTAGCGAAATTACTTTAAAACCGTAGCGAATGACGTTTTATTGAATTATCAAAGTGACACAGTATTTTCTCATTTTTCGCGGAACTGTGACTTTTCTTTTGCTAAAGCATCCCTGACCATAGATCTTACCACTGTCAAAGGAATAGTTTAAAACAATTTCAAATTACATTTTACGAAATTGAGTTAAATTAATATTATTAATCTTAATGTGTATTAAGAGTAAAATCTCGACTTACATTCGTACTATAAAATTAGTTAATTAGTTTAAAAAAAAGAAAAACTCTTATATTGACATTAAATTGAATTTACATATTTGTTTACTTTTCGAAATATTTTTCGGAAAGAACCTTTTTCGCAAAGTTAACATGAAATAAAATACTGACCGATGATCCGGAACACCAAGCAGAAAAACGGAAATGACCATATAAACACCACAGCTAATTCCGGGCAGACAGACAGCCAGGAAATAGAGGAGTTTCTGATACTTCCCGAACTCCCCCAACTTAATCAGAATGTCGTCAAAATTCATCTTTCCTGTGTTCTTTGGAGGGCTTTCGATATGGGGCACGGCGGACAGTTAAGGCCGTCAGACGACCATTAATCTTATCATTCGGGGTGTTTGCTAATGATTTTGAATTGACAAGTTGAAAAGAGTCTATCTCCAAATTTTTGGGTTACATATTGCCGCAGCACTTCACGTATCTAGAGTGGACATGGTTTTCTTAGTGTCAGGTTTCTTACTATCTGGTGCGAAGACGATAAACTCATTTTTAGATAAAATTATTATGCTTACCAAAATTTTAATATTTTAATCTGATAAGCATGATAAAGTAAGGAAAGGTTTTGAGTTTCTTTTCATTAAACTTTCTTTGTGTGAGACCTGTTTCTTTAGTTTTGTCTTTAATTAATTATCAATCAGAAATTGAAAATGATTACATGACTAATTTGTCATGTAATGACTTTCAACTCCACATTGAAAATTGATAAAAGACAACATTGTTCGATACTTTTTTTTTCTTGATAATGCTGTTAGTGTTTTCATTTTTTTTTTACTTCGGTTTTATTATTATTTTCTTTTCTTTATTTTTGTTAATTTTATTTTTATTTTAAAAAATAATGTTGCATTGCTGAATGTACTTCACTCATAAACATTTAAGAATGGAATTTATAGTTCACCTGAGTGGAATCTGGGTTAATTCGGGTGACACCGACCTCATTTTTTGTTTGTAGAGATCAAGGAATTCCAAAGATAATCATATAACAGATGTACACAGACCAGTAACACAGTGATAAAGGAATGCCTGAGTCAAATTTACATCTACAAATAAGGAATAAAAAAAGAAAAGAAAATAACTAAAAGTGTCGTTTTATGTACTCTGTAGAAAATAACACGATTTTGAACAATTTAATATAAAGGGATGTCGATTTTTTTTTTTATATATAAATGAAATATTATCAAACCTTGACAATAAGAAAATATGTTAATATTTATACTTTTTCAATTTCCAAAGAAATTTAAGCATGTATTAAGGTATATCATTTCAGTGTCTATAGTTATTATAAACAGGGGGACTATGCAACTAGATTCAGAAACCTACCTCTGCATTTAAATATGACATTATTAATCAATTCATTAATATACCTTTTTCAAAGCTAAGCTAATTAAGGACTACAATTTCCGGAATGATTGAAATAGTATACGAGCCTCACTTTGCATACATTTATATTAAAGGGTCGCGCATACAAATGTGATTTTCTTTTAAAATACTCATAGTATTCTAATTAAGTTTTTGGTCTCACCCATAAAACATTCAAATACATGCAGTTAATATAATTGCAAGAATGTAGCCTTGTATATCACAGTTTAAATTATAATATTTTAAAGATTTTAGATTCACTTAAGGTTCATCGAAACTCTGTTAAGAGAGATAACTACATAATTACATAATTGCTATTATCATATACTTAGTAGTAAATACACCGATTCTGCACGGTGTGATACGGGTGACGTCACAATTCCCCATATCACGGACCGGTCCGAAAATCCATATCACGTATCGGACCGGCGGTCCGAAAATCCATATCGAACCGGAAGTAACGTTTGTATAACGTTTAAAAGTCAAATTACTTTATTTTATTTTATTATTCATAATAAATCATATTTTATTGACATTTATGGTCTTAATTTTTTCAGTTACCTAAAATTGGCTTTATAAGATATAAAAGAAAAATGTCACAAATAAGCACGAAATATTCATCAATGACCATATGTGAACTTGCATATTAGGTGTTTTAAATATATGATAAATAGAATACTACATACTAAAATCCATATCATATGTCACATCAGCCCTCTGGCCCCATATCAGGCTGATATGGGGCCACTCGGGCTTATATGAAATATGATATGGATTTTAGTATGTAATATTCTCTATTTATTCCTTTATGAGTTTGTCAAGTTCAAGTGTCACTTTTGTTCAACCTTGCCCCGCAAGCTACGCTAATGCTATAATTGTCTGCATTTTACTTATTAAATACATTTCCTATGGAAAATCATTGAAGTTCAAGCAACATTTTATATGAGTGAGCAGTTTTTGTAATCAGTGATTGTTTGTAATCAGTTTTGCATAAATAAAATACAAATGTGACTTGATCTGATTTCTCGTATATGAATTTATGGTTATGAGATATTTTGTGTGAATATGGTATTTTATTTATAGACACAGAACAAATGGTCACGTGACTAATATCTATTCACAAAATTCATGCTTTCCCTAACTAAGACACGCACTCCTAGTTAAGTTATTACACTGATAAGATATATTATTCAGAACTTCCATTCATATACCGATATTTGTATACTGTGCTTATGTTTACCCTTGTAAGTAAATTACGCTCCTTGATAAGTTGATCTATCTTTTTATTCTTGGTTTCTACTGCTGTATTTGTTCGATGTCATCCCTTGAAGTTCTCTCCGATACCTCAGTGAACGAATTCCCCAATCCCAATGGTGGAGGAGGGATATATAGAAATAAATTATGCACATATTTAAAGTGTTAACATGCATTCTCTGTAAGCACCAAAAAATCTTGGAAACGACATATCTCCGATTTTGATGAAATTTGCACCACAGGTGCACCTTGGTACAAAACCAGC